ACAGGTGTCTACCAGCCAGAGGACCCGTGGGAGGTGAGAGAACGGCTAGCTTGAAGAAATATTTGCGACTGCACCTCCAGCTCTGTGTCATGTCGTTGAGGCACCAGATCCAAACATGCAATCTTAATCCAAAACAGCTAGCTTGAATTGAGATCTCCTGTCCATCAGCCCATTCCATTGCACGCTTCAATGCCAGGAATGGTTCCTTCGCCCCAAGCTCCATGATGCTCAGCTCAAACTATGCGGTTCTTTCTCCACACCACACTTCTTACGATTCAGGCAGGATGATGATTGTTTCGTGTCGTCATGAACAAATGCGAGGCACTGGATCACATGTTGTCTTGCATCTACCGCCGGAGATCCTTACCTTGAAGTGTGTCATTAATTGCTCTTCAAAAAACAGCTCTGCAACTATTAGGGGATCGCTGCGCTCGCGCTCTGTTTCCCCATCTGTCCTGCTGAGGATGCAACGTGAGAATGCATCATGGATTTGTTGCTGAGGATGGAATGGCTTGGCTGAAACGACCCTTGTCCCAAACAAAGTTGTTTAGCTCCAAGAAATACACCGCTGAATGTGAAAACTGGTCAGTGTTCATGATGAAAGGAACTATTGATCCCTTAGATGTTGAATATTCTGTTGAGTTTTCTTTGCTGAGGGTCTTGGATAAATACATTGAGAACATCCTCCAGCAAACGAGCCCGTGCTGTTCTTCGCTGTAGCAAGCTGAGGCCAGCTTGAACGATTCCATGAAGTGTTTTTGTTCACATCGATCGATCGATATATCCACGCTGTATTGATCTGTTGTATACATTGTAGCCGAGCCAGGATTTGGACGTCGCACTTGAAGATCAAGAAGTCACTTTGGCTGCATTTAACATTTCCTGGCATGCAGCCATCGTCAGCCATCAACACCTTCCCATGATGTGTGATCTCCTGAGGTTTAACTTGGAAGTGGTGTGCGTGGGGTCTGGGGGGGGGTCCTTGCGAACAAAGACTCTTATATTAACGGCTTTTGTTTCAAATGCTGTTGGCGGAGTAGGGTATAAATTGGCCACCGTCCGCGATCTCATGCCTTTTCCCCGGGGTCGGCGGCAGGGGGCGGAGCCCTTACAATTTAAAGCATGTGATCAGACACTATGTGATCAGACACGGGCTGCCAGATTGCAGGGCTGGACATCTGCCGGATTTGAAAAAGCGTTCCGTTCGTCTTGGCACTTGCAGTCGCAATCGCAGCGACACGTTGCCACCGCGGCACGTTCTTGTAGGTCATCGCCAGTTGACCCAGGTCCTGCACGGTGAAAGGTGCCCGGGTCGGTGTTTGTTTGTCTCACAGAAGTTGTTTGCAGGAATGTCACAGTGTCCAGAAAAAAGAAAGGAACTTCTAAAAACATGTCCAATGATACCCCTTCAGAAGGCCACTTCAGGTCATGATACCATCTTATAAGGGAGCTTTGGAACCCCTATGTCGGAAAGATACGGGTCCCACCTGAGACGTGGCACCACCTCTCACCAGTCTCTCCACCGGTCTCTCCGCCCACACCGGGTGTCGAACAACGTGCCTTCTTCTGCGTGAGCTTGCCGCCCTCGGCGAACTTGGCCATGGCGCCCTTGGGCGTGGCCTTTGAGGCCTGACCTCCGGTGTTGCTGTACATCTCCTGGGCAGGACGACTCTGGGCGACTCGGGCGGAAGTGAACGACGCGGGTCCGGCGTTCGGCCAGAGCGGAAGGTGTGTCACCAGGTGTGTCAGGTGTGTGTCAGGTGTGGGGAGGGCAGGGGAGGGAGTGAGCATCGAGGGGTGGTGAGTTCGGTTCAGAGAGCTTACAAAAGGCTCCAAAGCCGAAGACGACCATGTTGACGTGTCCAGACCAGACAAGTCACTGTGTCCAGCACCAAGATGTTCACGTGCTCCTGGAAAGCTCAAAGCCAGCATCAAGGCTTTTAAATGCTTTTAAGATCTCTTGAGGACTCTTGACCAATGAAATGGCTTTCCACCGACCAAGCTGTGCTCCTTTGTGAAAAGACATCAAATGCCTATAGAGCGTCCCATCCCACACCGCTCTCCGCCCCGGCCCTCGTCTGGCGCCTCAGAGGCGATGACGTGGTCCAGGCCGCCGTAGCCAATGTCGTAGGCCCAGCCATCGCCACCGACGATCCAGAAGCTGCTGCGGCCGAACATGTCCTCCCTGAGCGGGCGCTTGTTCGAGGACCGACGGCGAGGACGAGGACGTGCGGTGCTCGTTCAGCGACGTCCACGAAGGGGACGCCGACGCCGGCATGCGTTGCGGTGGTAGTGCGCTGTAGGGGTGACCATCAGTTTCGCCCGTCGGTTTTCGGTCCATGTATAGTTTTGGAGGCAAGTTCAACAAGGCTTCTCAAAGCACAGGTGCCAAGCTTGGTCGATGTTGGATTGGGCCAGTCAAATCTTAGATTGAATCAGGTGAGAGGCTTGGCCAAGCTGAAACGAATTCTCAATCCGCCTGAAAGCTTGGTCAAACCTTTCTGACAGCAAACCTGGCTGTCCTCCAAACCAGGGCATTGTCTAACCTTCGTCTAATAACCACCAAGGTCACCAGATAGTTGATTGGCAGGCTGTCTCAGGTGTTCATTGACCCCTGACCAAGGGAGACCCTAAACACTAACACTGGACTTGCCTGCAAACACCCGGAGTCCACCAAACAGCATTGTTCATCACTCAATAGCTCCCAGGTTCTCCGTCTCACGCAGCCTGAGGCGCTGCCCCCACCCACTCAACCGGGCAGCAGTTCATAGAGCTGCTTGATCTTGGCATGAGAACCCTTCTCCTGGCAGTTGAGAATTGGTTTGCGTCGAGAACATGTCACTTGAAGACCAATTGAAAAAGAACACCAAACACAGAGAGAGGAATGCTCCAAGAACGGTTTTACATGGTTTTGCTTCTCTTCTTCAAAACGATTTCAAGTGTGTCTTTTCTTCGCCCCTCCGCCTTCTCCAACAGGGGCACCAGCTTCTCCATGATCTGGTGGTAGATACTCCGACCGCGCGGCAACAGCAGATCGTGCATGTTCTCCTTTGGCGCGCGAAGCGCCGACCACCGACCGGAACCAAGGATCTGGTGTGGTCCGATGCTGTAAAAATCGAAGCAGCTTGGAACTGAATAGCTCCGCCGTTGGTGGTGGCAAAAGAAAACCGAAGCCTGATGGGTTGTTTGGGAAATGAACTCGCAAGGTTCATGTTGAAAGGCTCATGGAATACTCTGATGTCATGAAGGTTCTCCTTATGTCCTTGGGGATTTTCAAATTTCCCACACGAAGAACGCTTTTCGGGTAGCAAAGAGCAAAGGTACTGATGCAGCGTACCATGTCCCGATCCAAAGCGTGTAATCAAACACAAGTCAGGCTCTAAAAAAACTCCACCACGTCTCTTCAATGTTCCACACCCTGCACCAAACAGTACCACATGGGAGCTAAACCAGCTTGATAAACCCGCATCCATCTGCATATATGCAAACACCAGACCAACACAGACTCGCTCATCCTCGCTCCGTCCCCTCCTTGCGCATCACCAGGTATTGTTGCAAGGCTGTTCGAAGGTCGTCACTCATCGTCACCTCCTTGTCTCCTAGCGCATCCTGTGCGAAGCCGCTGGGCGAAGCCGCTGGGACGCTGGGACTTGGCCGTTGCGAATTCACAGGGCTTAGGGCCTAGAAGGAGGGTCCTTGAGTCAAATGATTGATACAGGTTTGGCCGAGAAAAAAGAACGTTGGAAAGTACACCTACTACGTTACAGCGTTCCCATAGTTTCTGATTGTATCTACTCCAGGATGGTGGTAAACATCGAGGCTGAGTAGTTCGAGCTCAACTGATGCAGAATGAAACTGCAGCCTCCAGACTCCAGAGCCCGTGCTTTCCATGAAAGATCATCAGTTCACCCTGACATCAGCCTTCCTCCAGGGACTGTGAATCTCAACGGAAGAGGAGCCAGACATAATCCACAATCGCCCAAAATCCCAGCGATGAAGTTTCAGGCAACTCAGGCGTTCACACACAGAGAGCAGAGAGGGGCAAGGAGTTCAAATAAACGGATCGCAGGATTGACAAACCCTAAAGTATCCACATCCACCAACCAGTCCATGTGATTCGCCTAGACATCCTAGACTCACTCCGAGACTGTCTAGGAGTCGGGTGCGTCCTCATATAGGGACGAACGCAACTTACGGTCACCGTTGGTTCAAATGAATCCTCAGATAGAGTCCTGCCAAGTACCTGACGTCATTGAAGGCAACCAAGAGGGCAGTACATACCTGTTACATGGCTGTGTCCACAGCCATTCATCAACCCTTAACCCATCCCAACCATCCACGTTCACCCAATTCTGTTCTTCAAACCATCGAAGCGTTGTCCGGGTCCACGTCGCCTCGACTTGGTTGGCCAAGTAATCGCGTCGCTGCTTGAAGGCCTGAGGCGGGGAGAAGGCGGTTGCTTGACGGAGTCGTCCTTTAAAGGAAGGAACGGAATGAAACGACAAGAGATTGAGATATCCTCCATTCAACAAGCATGGAAGAGGGAACACGGTCCCTGGGAAGACTTGTTTTCCTCTACGAACAGGCCATGTTCCACTTCCATGATTGTTTAAGGGAGGGTACAAAGTTCATACTTGTATGAACCAAGGAACCAGAGGTATCGGAACCAGAGTCATACGAAGAGTTTTTTCCTTGAACTTGGATGAAGTTGTTTTTTCCTGCTACCTCCGGGTACCCGAGGTTTGGTATCCAGGTGCACAAACAAGTAGCGACGAGGTTGATCTCCATCTAACGGATTTAGAGCTTTCAGAGGAGGTGACTTGGAGAGTGTCCAAAGTCAAAGTGTTGAAACCGACTGAAACCTCGTACCACCTGCCTTGGAACCCCCTAGACACAACCAGAGAGTGTTTCCTTCAACAGCCTTTTTTGTGCTCGGCCCCTGAGTCCGTCCTTGCCCGTTTTCGGTGAATAGCTGAATAGCTGTCTTCCATTGTCTGTGGATACTTTGGGATGCATCTACATGACCATGACCTTTCCAGAAGGAGCAAACCATCAATCAGCACTTCTCACCCAATACAAGTCAGGGAATCAACACAGCCATGGAATTGGGGCAAAGGAAATCTGCAACGGCACTAGAATACCATAAAGTGAGGAGGTTCAAAAGATCAAGTCTTCCTCTGCCTGCGACCGGCCTTTCGCATGCCGAAGCCGAACTCCGCATTGTCCTCGAAGAGGCTGTTGGCCCAGGCGGGGCCTCCACACGGTCCGTGCCACGGCGCCTGGTAAGCTGGTACTGCCTAAATCATTTCGAAGGACTTCGCTGACTTTTGGATACAATGTCTCTAGATACAAGTGTCTCCAGCCAAAAAACTAACCTAACTAACTCTACTCCCGGATACAATGTCCCTAATATGTATAAGTCATAACTACTTCGCCATCTCACCGCCGGTCTCAAACCTCGCCTTCGCCCTTGGCATTCACGGTGTAGGGGAACGAGGGGTTGGACCCGCCCCAAATCGAGGAGCAGCCGGTGGCGTTGGCGATCACCAAGCGCTCTCCAAACAGCTGCGTCATCAGCTTCACATGCGGCGTCTCGCCACAACCCTCACAGGCGCCGCCTGGGCGGGCCCACAACAGAGGAGGGGGGGTGGAATCCAGGGCAAAGCGAAGCAGAATAAACCCTGGGTAGCGGTGGCCTGGGGATGCAGAATCACCCCCAAGCTTACAGCTAATACACGATCTTACAGCACTGGACCAACTAACTATTTCCAGATGGTTTCTGTGAGGTGGAGATCTCGTTCGACGGTCCTTGCGACACCAGGCGACTGAACTCCAGGTAAGGTTTCTGGAACTGGGAGCCCTTCACCGTCGTCTTGTCGATCTCATCTCCACGGTCTGGCAAGGTCACAGCGAAGTTCCAATTCGCCTCCTCCTCCTGCCAGCTGCGTGTCAGCATCAAGATGCGTGTGGGGGGAAGGGATGGTCTCCGGTCCAGGGCAGGAGAGGACATGTTGGCTGGTCACTGGTCGGGTGTCGGGTGTACTTTGAATTGCCAGTATGGCAGGACAATCGAGATGTTATTCAATCCTAGAACATCCTAGAACTACTCTTTATCAAAACTTGGCACATGACTTTCAAGCCAAATGAATCCAAAAAGTGCTTCAGCTCATAGTATCTAACAGTATCTAACAGTATCGTGAGCTGCTTGTGGCCCTAACAAAGGGCCATGCACGACATTTCACGACAGCTCGAGCAGCGATTCTACCCACAGTTGAAGAAAGAGCTTCAGACCCTGCCAAGGATAAGAGTCACGGACCTCACAAAACAAGTTTCCTACTGGACATGAGGGAAGTAGCTGGAGGAAGTAGCTTCGATCGATCTGTGTCGCAAGCCAAAGAAGACTTTTTGGACAGGACCCTCGCGATCACGGCAAAAATGGGGCACCCCCAACGAAAGTCGATCTGTGTCGGTGGGAGGAACCAAAATCACCATCGAAACGATCAAAACTCACATCGCACTCCACCTCTCCACTCTCCTCCCCCTCTCCGGTCACCGCACCGGTCTCACCGAAGGTCGCCGATCGCCGAACGAACGCCGATCCGTTCCGCGCGAATGCGGACGCCTCGATGACCTTCCCGGCATCGGCCAACTTCAAGGCATCCGCCGGGCAAATGCGAACGCACAGCTCACAGCCGGTGCAGTCCCAAGGCGACACCTGACCCGGTGCAGTCTGAAGTCCTGACGTTCTGAGAAGGGAAAAGAGGTTAAGGGAGGTGTCACCTTCAACCTGGCGCTTCCTGGCGCTCATTCTGTGTCACTTCATCCAACCGTGAAAGAGGCGTTTTGGTCTCAAAACAGGAGGCCGTCCGGTCAGGCAACTGGACCCCACTGACTGAGCCCCTCTTGTGCATGGAAAGTCCACCCCATTCAGAGGCAGGCTCACAAGGACTCTTCAATGTTTGGTTGCGGGGTGATGAGGAGTCTACTCTCTCACAGGGTTTGGGCACAGTTGCTTGGGTTTGTGTGCCTTTCCCAATTTTGCCCACAGGCTCACTGTGTGTGAATTCCAACTTTCCCTCACCTGCCGCCCAGGTGTGTCTGCGAAGGACTTCGCATCCCCACTTCAACAGCTCCGAAGAACGCTCCGAGCTCCCAGCTCCAAACGCCAGGCTCCAAGGCGCCTGGATTCGGTACTGGTAGTTGTCCAGCACTCCGCCGCCGATGGCCGCGCGGCTGCCCTCCTTGAAGTCCTGGACTCGTGCAAAGCACAGTGCTTCACGCCGAGGTGTTTCACTCGGTCGAAAGGGTTTCGGAAACAACATGTGAGTGAAAACAACGTTCTCGAATTCTCGACATGAAAAAGCAGGTGAGTGTCGCATCTGTTTTCGCTTTCTTCTTCGATTCGCTTCGCTTTCTTCTTCGCGACGGGTTGTGACTTCAGATGACTTCAGACTCTCCGACCCACGTCGCTCAGCAGCTTTGCAAACGCACCTTATTGGACCAGACCTTTTATCATACCTCGTATTGTAATGTATTGTATATGAGTCGATGCAAAACAAAAAACAAGTGTCCCAAAAGTGACAGTCATTGACTGTATACTGTATACGAGTCAATGCAATCTTGTTGATGTTGAGTAAAGTTCCTAAAAAGACACGCAAACGTTTCATCACTGCACCGTCTCAGTAAAGAGTTGTGGTCCTTGGGTGCGGAGTTCAACTCCTGCTGAGTGAGCAGGAAGGGCCGCACCTGAGAGAAAAAAGTACTACAGGTCGCAGGTCCATGAATGGTCCAGAATCCAACCTAAATACCACGGGAAAATAAGTGGTCTTCCGTGCTTGAGATGGTGAAGGAGGTTGTCCAACAGTGCTGAATCTTGATTCAGGAACTGCAGGCTTTCGAAGACGGTAGGAAATTGAGTGACTGCTGGTCACTTGGCAAGCAAGGCATTCTTTGACTCGATTGGTTTAAACACCTTTCGAAAAGCTGAAGGCCCAAGCGACCCACTGACTGGCCACTGGCCACTCTGTTCCAGCGCCATTGATTCTAATCTTTCGGGCCCAGCGACCGCGGCGTGGGGGCAGATCAAGCTGCACTTGTTGCACTGGGTGCAAAGGTCCATGTCCACCTGAGCAACGAGACTTGAGCCCAGAAAGGAGCAGAGGCCCAGCAATCACAAAGGCATTCATCGATGCCTAACAGGCACTGGATGTTTAAGCAACACAAGTCTTGATTCCGTGGATTTGCTCTGCACTAGTGGTTTCCCTTTCCCCTCTTTACTGGGTTGCCACTCGGTTTGGTTTCTGTCATGCCTTGCCTTGGGTACGTTGATGGCGATACCGCGCTTCTCGTATTGGCTGGTGCCCAATGGCACTCTTCCGCCCGGCACAAAGGTGCTCACTGGCAGGGAGTTGCCGTCCTCAGTGCAGCGATGAAACCGGCGAGGTGATGGAACGATTGGAGTGGTTGGAGGGTCAAATGCCGTGCAGTTGGAGGAAGGTTATGTAAACTGGCTGAGAGGGCAGGGATTTGTTCGATGTCTTTGGATCCCTACATAAATATGTATATACATTATAATAGAGAGAGAGAGAGACACATTACATATCTTTACACTCCCTGAAACCATCATGGAAGTGGATGGCATGGCCCTTATGATTAGACAATTCTTCCCCAAAACCAGCCTTGTGGTGGTTGTTCCATGGTTTTCCATTTCACCATGCTGTTGAAGCAAGTGAAATGGAGCTCGGTGCCAGCGGAGCTACTGTCCGAGCTGAAATGAGCTGAATGGGGTGTTGGTCCGTGTACAGGGTGAATTGCTTTGCACCCGCCTTGTTTGGAGGTGCAAGAAGTATAGAACTACAGTTGAAAAAGGTCATAGTCAGATTTTGCAGGAACGCACCAAAATGTTCAAAGCATTAAAGGGGTACTAAAGTATACAAGTAGTTCCCGGGCAAGCCGGCGGCGGAAGTTTCCTATAAGAAGAAATTGACCTATAGGAGTGTCCACGTTCTCTCCAACATGCGCGTCCTCCAGTCAAACGCACGCGCTCCGGACTTTTGACCCACGGGATTCCACGTGTGTAAGGTGTGTGTGCCCCCTGCGAGAGATGACACACATCCGGCCACCACGACTTGCCAAGGATGCGGTCCACATCGACACACATCCCACCGTGGCATTCTTCAGTGGCGGCAAACCTTGCATATCACACATCGGACTGAATGGAATCCGAATTTGAATGTAAAATCTGTCTTGAACTCTGAGACTATGTATGATGAGTCTTGTGTGATGAGGGGTGTATGACAAGTGATGAATGATGAGTGGTGTATGTTGAGTGGTGTATGACGAGTGGTGTATGATGAGTGGTGTATGCTGACTGGTGTATGATGAGTGGTGTCTTGACCAGCAGTTGAATGTCCTGTCCTGCATAACTGCAACCAAATACTATCAGTATGAACTGAACGTGCACGCCGCGAGAGATGACTCAGCAGCGAGAGATGACTCAGTCGCGAGAGATGACTCAGCCGCGAGAGATGGCTATAGCGAGAGCTGACTCAGCAGCGAGAGATGAATGAGCAGCGAGAGATGACTCCTCCGCGTACTACACTGTTCGCCAGTACAACTCTAGTTGTACTATGAAGTCGCCAGTCCTCAGCTTCTAGCTGCACAGATTGCTCCGCGTGCTGAAGTTGTACTACAAAGTCGCCAGTTCTCATCGTCCAGCTTGCCAGATACTCCGCGTGCTAAAGTTGTACTACAAAGTCGCCAGTTCTCAGCTTCCAGCTCTACAGATTGCTCCGCGTACTAAAGTTGTACTAGAAAGTCGCCAGTTCTCACCATCCAGCTCCACAGATACTCCGCGTACTAAAGTTGTACTACAAAGTCGCCAGTTCTCCTCGTCCAGCTCGCCAGATACTCCGCGTACTAAAGTTGTACTACGAAGTCGCCAGTTCTCAGCTTCCAGCTCTACAGATTGCTCCGCGTACTAAAGTTGTACTAGAAAGTCGCCAGTTCTCAGCTTCCAGCTCCACAGATACTCCGCGTACTAAAGTTGTACTACAAAGTTGCCAGTTCTCAGCTTCTAGCTGCACAGATTGCTCCGCGTACTAAAGTTGTACTAGAAAGTCGCCAGTTCTCAGCTTCCAGCTCCACAGAAACTCCGCGTACTAAAGTTGTACTACAAAGTCGCCAGTTCTCATCGTCCAGCTCGCCAGATACTCCGCGTACTAAAGTTGTACTACAAAGTCGCCAGTTCTCAGCTTCCAGCTCCCCAGATGCTGTGCCTGCCACGAAATCTGCACATGGAGGTTCACAAAGTGCTGCACCTGCCACGAAATCTGCACATGGAGGTTCACAAAGTG